TGTGTGTGTGTGTGTGTGTGTGTGTGTGTGTGTGTGTGTGTGTGTGTTTGAGATAGAGTTTCACTCTTTTTGCTCAGGCTGGAGTGCGACGGCATGATCTCAGCTCACTGCAACCTCCACCTTCCAGGCTCAAGCAATTCTCCTGCCTCAGCCTACTGAGTAGCTGAGATTGCAGGCATGCACTACCACACCCAGCTATTTTTGTATTTTTAGTAGAGATGGAGTTTCTCCATGTTGGTCAGGCTGGTTTCGAACTCCTGACCTCAGGTGATCTGCCCGCCTCAGCCTCCCAAAGTGCTAGGATTACAGGCATGAGCCACCACGCCCAGCTGTATCTGTGTTGTTTTAAGCCACTAAGTGTGTGGTAATTTGTTGCAGCAGAAACAGGATCTAGTATTGTAGTGAAGCCTCAAAACCCACATGAAGGGGCTGGGTGCAGTGGCTCATGCCTATAATCCCAGCATTTTGGGAGGTCAAAGTGGGCAGATCACTTGAAGTCAGAAGTTTGAGACCAGCCTGGTCAACATAGTGAAACCCTGTCTCTGCAAAAAAATTAGCTAGTGTGGTGGCACATGCCTTAATCTCAGCTACTTAGGAGGCTAAGTCATGGGAACTGTTTGAACCTGAAGAAGAGGAGGCAGAGGTTGCAGTGGGCCAAGATTTTGTCACTGCACTCCAGCCTAAGTGAGAGAGCCAGACCCCATCTCAAAACAAACAACCCAACCTGGAGAAAGTTTCCAGTTCTGTCAGTAGTCCCCCACCCAACCTCCAGAAGTAGACATTTCTTCATGGTTTTTTTGTTTGTTTTTTGTGGGGGAAATGGAGTCTCACTCTGTTGGCCAATCTAGAGTGCAGTGGCATGATCTTGGCTCATTGCAACCTCTGCCTGCCTGGATCAAGCTATTCTCCTGTCCCAGCTTCCTGAGTAGATGGGATTACAGACAAGTGCCACCACACCTGGCTAATTTTTATGTTTTTAGTAGAGACAGGGTTTTATCATGTTGCCCAGGCTCTACTCAAACTCCTGGCCTCAAGTGATCCATCCTTCTCAGCTTCCCAAAGTGTGGGATTACACGTGTGAGCCATGGCACTCAGTACTCACCAAGGCCTTTGATAGCATGCTTTTCCAGGTGATCAGTCCTTGTCTGGCCTGGCTATGTCACATTCTTCACTACACCACGTTGGAATCCCTAGCTACTTTTCAGAAGAGGAGAGTGTGTACTTTAATCCCAGCTCGGTATGGTTCAGTTCTGCATTTAACTCATGGAACCTGGCTGCCCCCCAGGCCTTGGAGAAAAAAAGGGTCTCTCTGTGAGTATGATACAGGATGGGCCAAGATCATGCCACTGCACTCCAGCCTGGGCTACAACAGTGAGACTCCATCTCAAAAAAACAAAACACAAAAAACAAAAACAGACTCCATCTAAAAGAAAAACAAAGACAAAACAAAAAACAAAGGTGGCATGTCAAAGAAAATAATTACTGTGTTAAAGATAATTTCATACAAAATAAAAGACAATACAATAAGCTGTCTTTTTAGATGAGTATAATTGTTATTCTTATTTTACAGCTAAAGAAATGAGCTCAGGGCAACTGTGGTGGCTCACACCTGTAATCACAGCACTTTGGGAGGCTAAGGCAGATGGATCATGAGGTCAAGAGATCCAGATGATCTTCGCCAAAATGGTGAAACCCCATCTCTACTAAAAAAAAACAAAAATTAGCTGGGCGTGGTGGCACAAGCCTGTAATCCAAGCTACTCAGGAGGCTAAGGCAGGAGAATCGCTTGAACCCAAGAGGTGGAGGTTGCAGTGATCCAAGATGGCACCACTGCACTCCAGCCTGGCAAAAGAGCAAGATCTCGTCTCTAAAAAATAAATAAAATACGTAAAAGAGAAACAGGCTCTGAGAATGTTATTTGATTGGACCATGTTGCATCTCTGGACAGTGAAGCTGAGATCAGACTTTATGTGTAACTCCCCTAGCCTACCGGGATGCCTTTCATAAAGGTAAGACATATAAATTTGGCCTAATATACAAAGATGCTGGAACAGCACTGGGTCAATTCTACATACAGTACTTCCATGTTCATCAAGGGAAACCTTAAGGGAAGGTGAAAATGCTTCTAGAAGGGACTGGACACCAGTGCCCTTACTTGTTGCCTTTGGGCTCTTCCTCCAAGGCTAACAGTGACCTGAAATTACTGACTGTTCCAATCAACAGGAGACAATGGTACCAAGGTCACCAACATCAGGCAAATTCAGGACCTAGCTCTGTGCTTTGACAGACAAAACTGCCTTTGTAAAAGATACTGTATTTCAGAAAAACATAATCACATTAGCAACTAATAACACTGTAAAATGCTGATGTGTTGAATGTTACTTTAGAAAAATATGCTCAAATGTAGGAAAAGATTCTGATAGAAAACTATGTATCAATTAACTAGCTAGCTATCTAGAGACATGGTCTCATTCTTTTGCTCAGGATGGAGAGCAGTGGGATGATCCTAACTCACTGCAGACCTGCTACCAGCCTCAACTGATCCTCCTGCCTCAGCTTCCTAAGTAGCTGCGGCCACAGGTGGACACAGTTATACCTGCCTTTTTATTTGTTTGTTGTGTAGAGTCAGGGTTTCACTACATTGCCCAGGATGGTCTCAAACTCTGGAGTCTTGCTCTGTCACCCAGGCTAGGGTGCAGTGATGTGATCTCGACTAACTGCAACCTCTGCCTCCTGGGTTCAAGCAATTCTCCTGTCTCAGCCTCCCGAGTAGCTGGGACTACAGGCATGTGTCACTACATGTGGCTAATTTTTGTAGAAACCAGGTTTCATCATGTTGGCTACACTGATCTTGAACTCCTGACCTCAGGCGATCCACCTGCCTTGGCCTCCCAAACTGCTGGAATTACAAGTGTGAGCCACCAAGCCAAGCCAAGGACTTTGCTATTAAATAGCCTAACCCAAGCGGGGCACGGTGGCTCACACCTGTAATCTCAACAACTCTGAAGGCCAAGGTGAGAAGATGGCTTGTACCCAGGAGTTTGAGACCAGCCTCGGCAACATGGAGGCAAGAACCCCCCATCTCTACAAAAAAATACAAAATATTAGGCCAGGTATGCACCGTGCCTGGCTAATTTTTGTGCCTTTTGTAGAGACAGTGTTTTGTCATGTTGCTCTGGCCAGTCTCACACTCCTGATTCCAAGCCATCCTCCTGCCTTGGCCTCCCAAAGTGCTGGAATTACAGGGCCCAGGCAGCCTCAATTTTTCTTTAAGCAGTCCCCCAATGTCACACGCTTGGATAGTTTATATTTTTAGACAGGGTTTACCTCAGTCTCACAGGCTGGAGTGCTGTGGTAGAATCATAGCTCTTTGCAGCCTTGAACCTTGGGGTTCAAGTAGCTGGGAGGATGAGGTGGGACTACAGAAATAGGGTCACACCACTTTGCCAGGCTGCTTTTGAACTCCTGGCCTGAAGAAAACTTTTCGCCTCCCCAGCGTCCAGACACAATTTTTCTATTTTTGACCCACATAAACACTGTGCTGGGTCAGAGTTTGTTACCTACCCTTCTCCAGCCAGCAACACACAGGCTGCAGCGGGAGGTGGAGGTTACCAGGATCTGCTCTGCGGAGAAGACAACCCAGCTCCTAGGCAACACACCTCCGTGTAAGGTCGCCGAAGGTCCGCCTCTGTGACATCGCCAGAAGTGCGCCACTGTGACATCGCCAGAGGCGCGCCTCTGTGACGTTTTCAGAGGCCCGAGCCTCACGTGGAGCCAATCGGAAGTCGAGGAGGGGCTGGTGGTTCTTCCAGGGGCACGCATGCGTGGGCTGGTGACGGAAGCCTCTGCAGAGGTGGCACTTCCGTGTCGACAGGCTCCAGCCTGGCTGCAGTCACCTACAAGCTCCAAAGAGGAGTTTTAAGATTTCCCAGTCTGCAGGGCCAGGAGCAGCAGGGACAGAATGTAGCGACCAGGTGCTGCACACCAACCTCCTGGCGACTGGTGGGCATGAGTGCAAGGTCGCTGAGAAGAAGCTCCTCAATGGCCAGTGAAGGGCTACCAGCACCACTGCTACCCCGGCCGTGTATTCGGCTTGCCTCAGCCTGGGTATGTGCGACTCCCAATACCTTTCCCAGCCAGGGACCCCAGGAGCGTCCTTCACCGCTGCTTATCCTGGGCAGGGTCAGCACTCTCTGAGGCTGCCTCCCATTAGGAAGCTTCACCCCCCAGCTTGACCTTTGATGGCCATTGCAATAGCCTTAAAGCCTTTGCAACTTTGAGGTGGGTACTAGGGAGCTAGGAAACAAAGAAAACAGCTTTATAAATATGTAAGGGATTGGCCAGGTACTGTTGCTCACACCCATAATCCCAGCACTTTGATAGGCTAAGGCGGATGGATCATAAGGTCAGGAGTTCAAGACCAGCCTGCCAGCATGGTGAAACCCCATCTCTACTAAAAATTAGCCAGGTGTAATGGCAGGTACCCGTAATCTCAGCTACTTGGGAGGCTGAGGCAGAAGAATTGCTTGAACCTGGGAAGATGAGGTTACTGTGAACAATGATGAGGAAATGATGCTGTTTGTTGTTTGTTTGCTTTTGGAGACAGGGTTTTGCTCTGTTGCCGAGGCTGGAGTGAGGGCAAAATCGTGGCTCACTGCAGCCTCAACTTCCTGGGCAGGTGCAAGCAATCCTTCCCCTTTGGCCCCCCAAGTAGTTGGGATTACAGGTGCATGGCTAATTTTTGTATTTTGTATAGAAACAGTTTCACCATGTTGCCAGGCTGGTCTCGAACTCCTGACCTCAGGTGATGTGCCTGACTCGGCCTTCCAGAATGCTGAGATTACAGGCATCAGCTACTGCATCTGGCCCTAGAGTCACTTTTAAACCTTGAATCCAGAACCATGTTCCTGTTTGGTGGAGTCTACTCACTAGATTAAAGGAAAGGAGCATGTACGTTTTAGAATGGGTACTGTCATGGAATGATGCAAGGGATGGGTGAGAGAGAAATACTAGAGTAGGTCTGGGCACATCCTAGTTCCTCATTCTGACTCATTTGGACAAGTAACTATGATCATTTGAAAATGAAAAGTAACAAGCTCTCATTTGAAAAAATGGGGCCAGGCATGGTGGCTCTCCTTGCCTGTAGTCCTAGCACTTTGGGAGGCTGAGACAGGCAGATCACAAGGTCAGGAGTTCAATACCAGCCTGGCCAATATGGTGAAACCCGTGTCTACTAAAAATACAAAAATTAGCCAGGTGTGGTGGCACATGCTTGTAGTCCCAGCTACTTAGGAGGCTGAGGCAGGAGAATCACTTAAACCCAGGAGATAGAGGTTGCAGTGAGCCAAGATTGTGCCACTGCATTCCAGCCTGGGCTACACAGCAAGACTCCGTCTCAGAAAAAAAAAAAAAGAGGAAAAGGAAAAAATGGGATGGGCCTGGCACAGTGGCTAACACTTGTGATCCCAGCACTTTGACACCTGTAATCCTAGCACTTTGGGGGGCTGAGGTGGGAGGATTACTTGAGGCCAGGAGTTCGAGACCAGTCTGGGCAACATAACAAGGTTCCATAACTACAAAAAAATTTAAAAAGGCCTCTACAGAAATGGCGAGAGATTTGGGCAATACCCAGGGCCCTGGGGTAGAGAGGGAGGTTGGCAGGGCTGAGGAACTCTGCCCTGCCTGGGTTGACCCCTCTGGACATATAGACTGTGACCCTGGCCATTTTCTTTACCTCTAGGAGCTTATTGGCAAAACTGCAGAAAAGCCATACATGGGATGCAGCCAGAATGACCAGGTGCCTCTAGCCCCTCCACCCCCCTGCTCCGTGCTGTCCCAACCTTGGGGAGCCCAGGGAGCAGTTAGAGCTCAGCAGGGTCCTGGCTCCCCAGGGAGGCAACACATCAGCTTCCCTGAGCACCACCTCCTCCTCCCACAGGTGGTCACGGACCTCACACTGTGGATGCAGCAGACCTGCTCCATGCTCTCAGGCCTCTTCTGGGAGCTCATCAGGAAGATGGCGGATTGGACAGAGGTGTGAGTTCCTGAGGGACACCCAGGCAGCCGAGAGAGGTGTAATGGCAGCCTGAACAGCAGACCTAGGTGGCAGGGGTGAACAGGGTTGGGGTGCCAGGCCCCGTGGCACAGGGGCATCCCAGAGCTCTAGGATCGAGGCAAAGCAGCCAGGAGTGGGACATTTCCTGCAGGCCCCAATACTCCCATGCCAGTCTAGCTCAGCAGGCAGGAAAGACTCACCCTTTGTGGGGCCTGGTGTGGTGGCTCACAACTGTAATCCCAGCACTTTGAGAGGCTCAGGTGGGTGGATCACCTGAGGTGAGGAGTTCAAGACCAACATGATGAAACTCTGTCTCTACTAAAAATACAAAAATTAGCCAGGCATGGTGGTGTGCACCTGTAATTGAAGCTACCTGGGAGGCTGAGGCAGGAGAATCGATTGAACCCGAAAGGCAGAGGTTGCATTGAGCTGAGATTGTGTCACTGCACTTCGGCCTGGGAGACAGAGTGAGACTTCATCTCAGAAAATAAAAAATAAAAAGAAAGAAAACTCACCATTGCGGATTTGAGGGCAGGAAGCTAAGGCATAGCTTGAATATGCCTGGAGCAGCCAGAGTCACTCCCATCCTGCCTGTGCCTCACATCTCCCATCCCATGCTCTGGTCCCCATCCAGCTCACCTGGCAAAAGAAAGACCCAAAGGCTGCCTCCTGCTGGCTCATCCCTGGTTTTGGCTTCTGGGATGTGTTTGGGTTGGGATTTGTTCCTTGCAGACCTGGAGGAGGAGCACTGAGAAGTCACCATGTGTTGTCAGAGACCCCTCCTCTTCCTTAACTCCCTGTGACCCCTGTTTCTCAGACCTGGGGGGAATCAAGGGCACACAAATTGTCACCCTGGAGTTGGGGCAAGGCTGCTAGGAGGAACAGGGAGTGTCTGCTACTGAGTTCAGGGTTTCTTTAATTTTTTTTTTTTTTTTTTTGAAACAGGGTCTTGCCCTGTCACCTAGTCTGGAGTGCAGTGGTATGATCTCTCCTACCTGCAAACTCTGCCTCCCGGGTTCAAGTGATTCTCTTGCCTCAGCCTCCCAAGTAGCTGGGATTACAGGTGTGTGCCACTACATGCAGCTAATTTTTGTATTTTTTTAGTAGACATGGGTTTTGCCATGTTGGCCAGTCTGGTCTCTCGAACTCCTGAGCTCAGATGATCTGCCTGCCATGGCCTGCTAAAGTGTTGGGATTACAGGCATAAGCCACTGCGCCCTGCCTCATTTTTAAATTTTTAACTTTTCCTTTTTTTAAGATGGAGTTTTGCTCTTGTTGCCCAGGCTGAAGTGCAGTGGCACTCGGCTCACTGCAACCTCTGCCCCCAGATTCAAGTGATTTTCGTGCCTCAGCCTCCAGAGTAGCTGGGGCTACAGGTGCATGCCATGCTCAGCTAATTTTTGTATTTTTTAGTAGAGACAGGGTTTCACCATTTTGGCCAAGATGTTCTCAATCTCCTGATCTTGTGATCTACCCATATTGGCCTCCCAAAGTGCTGGGATTACAGGCATGAGCCACTGCACCTGGCCAAATTTTTAACTTTTTAAATTGTCTTTAGAGACGAACTCTTCCTCTGTCACCTAGGCTGGAGTGCAGTGGCTCCATAATAGGCCACTGCAGCCTCAAACTCCTGGGCTCAAATGATTCTCCCACCTCAGCTTTCTGAGTAGATAGGACCACAGCTGTGCACCACACCCTGTGAATTTTTAAAATTTTTTGTAGAAACAGGTTCTCACTATGTGGCTCAGTCTAGTTGAACTCCCAGCCTCAAGTGATCCTTCCCTATTGGCCTCCCAAAGTGCTGGCATTACAGGCTTAACCTGCCATGCCTGGCCTTGAGTACAGAATTTCTTTAAAGGGTGGTGAAAATGTTCTAAGATTGGTGATGGCTTTACACTACAGTGTAAACTTTAAATGGGTAAATTGTGTATGAATGGTATCTCAGCAAAGCTGGTTTATTTAAAACAAAAAAGGCTGGGTGAAATGGCTCATGCCTATAATTCAAGCACTTTGGGAGGCCGAGGCGGGTGGATCACCTGAGGTCAGGAGTTTGAGACCAGCCTGGCCAACATGGTGAAACCCTGTCTCTACTAAAAATACAAGAAACTGGTGACTTGAATAAGGGGCAGGGCCTTCTACCTGCTCAGAGAAGCTCTTTATGAGCCCCAGGTATTTCTTGGGTCCTCAAACGAAACTTCCCATGGCCAAGTCATACCTGACAGAGGCCTCCTCCCCTGTTCTGGCCCCCACTCAGAGATGCTGAGTGACAGAAGCTCAGGCTTTGGGTGTTCCTGGCAAAGCCTCACCCCAGGAGCCCCACAGCTCAGGCCCAGTGTGTGGTTCACACGGCCCCACTTCCAGCCTCTTTTTCCCTTGAGAGCGATTTGTCCCTGGGAGATCCTGGATCCCTCATTCAGGTGCAGTGCTGCAGGGCAACACTGCTTCCCAGGGGTGTCCCAGGCCTGCAGGGTCCCAGTGTCATTGGCAGACCTTGCCTGAGCCTTTCCCCAAGCCGCTTCTCCTCCTGTCCCACAGGGAACAAGATGTCTTCTTCCCGGGGTACACGTACCTGCAGAGGGCCCAGCCCGTTCACTGGAGCCACTGGATTCTGAGGTGAGTTGGGTGTGGTGCAGGGGCCATGCTGGAGGGGAGGACCCAGCTGCCCTGACCCTCCTGCCCCTGGCTTCCCACAGCCACGCCATGACACTGACCTGAGACTCTGAGTGGCTGCTGGAGGTGTGAAAGTGGATCAGTGTCCTGCCCCTGGGGAGGTGGATGAGGCTCCAGTGCCCCCAGGGCCTGGTGGGGTTGGCTGCTGCATAGCCTTTGGGATTCACAGATGAGCTGGGAAGGGTGGACTGGGACAGAAAGTCGGGTTATCTGCTCAGAGGGGGACCTTGCATGCAACCCCAGCTCTTGCTAAGATGGGGACATCCAAGCCAGTGAATGTTTCTGAGCAGGGATAGAGCTCTCCAGTGAGGCTCCTGGCCAGCCCACTCTGCTGCCCTCAGCCTGACATATAGAGACATGGGTCAGGAGACCTGCACACATGGTGACTCAGTGCTTGGGGATAAGTGTTCTGGGGACACTTGGGGATAAGTGGGCACCCAATGCGACTGGGTCAGGGAAGAGGCTGAGCTCCAGGTGGTTGCCCTGGCAACCAGGACTTGGTTCTGTGTGTGGCGTTTGTGTGTGTGTGTCTGTCAGGACTGCCCTTATCACCATGGACTTTGTGTGTGTGTGTGTGTGTGCGCACTTGCGGCCTGCCTGCGAGGAGCCCTGGTCACCATGAATCCCTATCCTTCCAGTGGAGCCATTTCAGGGAGTCCCCTGGGTATGGATCAAGAGCTGCTCTGAGCAGATGAGATGCCCTGCCCTTCCTCCCTAGGGGGAGTCACCCTCAGCATTTGCCATTACACGAAGACACACCTGAGACCAGAGGACAGGGTCCTGTGGCTCCTGGTGAAACCTTCATTTATTGCCTGTAGGCACTGAGGTCTTCGAGGCCAGGGGTCACCCATGGCAGGGGTGCCTGGTACTGAGAGACTAAGGGCTCCTGCCTCCCTCTTGGGACTGTGCAAAAGATCCCTCTCCTCAGCTCCTGTCCTGTCTGCCCTGATCCTCTTTCCAGGGTGAGGGGGCTGGGCAACCTGGTTGGGGGAGAGGAGGCCACTCCCTGTGATCTAGCCCAGCCCTGCTTCCTCCCACCCCCAAGAACTCAACTTTGAGGCCACCACTCTCAATAGCATGGATGCCACCAGTGAGGGTAACTTCATGGGTGAGTCTTGGGGAGCCATTCCCCTGCCCTGTGACTCACTTTTGCTCCCCCAGCACAGCTTATCTGCATTCTTCTCCTACTCCTGTATGATCAGGCTTGTTGTGATGATTGTACACTAAAGTGTAAATTAAATAAGTAAATTGGGCAGGACACAGTGGCTCACACCTGTAATCCCAGCACTGTCCAACATGGTGAAACCCCGTTTCTACTAAGAGTACAAAATTTAGCTGGTTGTGATGGCAGGCACCTGTAATTCCAGCCTCTTGGGAGGGTGGTGCAGGGGAATCACTTGAACTGAGACTCAGGCTGGGATAGGATGTCTGGTCCTCATTTCTCTAGGCAACTGCAAGCCTTCTGCATTTCTCCAGAGCCCCAATCCCACTCTGATGTGCACACCCACCTGGTGTGAGGGCACTGAGAAACCCTGTGCCCTCTCAGGGCTGTGGCTCTGGCTGCATGCTGGGAGGATGGTGTCCTTGCTCATCTTCCTCAGGGTAGAGGAGTCACAAGAGAAGTGGGTCTTTCTTTTCTTAAAAGTGGTCTCTTGAATAATGCCCCTGTGTATTTTTCTTGATGGACCCCTGTCCCATCAAGGGTGAAGATGGGGACAGATGGGGAGGGTTGTGTGGACTGCTTTGCCACAGTGGGACATGGTGTGTGATGAGAGGGAGAAGAGCCCTCAGGCCCACACGTGGGAGTCAAACCGTGGATGTGTGAACAGTGACCGGTGAATGTCAGAGACCAGCTGGGCTCTCAGGTCTCTGAACCATGGTGGAGTGTGTGGCCTGTGACTGGGAGAGGCATGAGGGGATGGCCCTGTGGTCCCTACACAGCTACTCAGTAAAGACCATTCACTCCAAAGAGCCAGGACCTTAGTGCTGGACCCTGGGCTCACTGGTGGGGGGGACTCAGTAGCCGTGTCCTCTCTGGCCCAGCAGAGTCCCTGAGCAGGGAACTTTGCATGGTCTTGGCAGGTGCTACCTCTCAGGGCTCCCCCAACAGATAAAGCAAACCTTCCCCCTCCTGGGTCTGCAGCATGAACCCAGCCCCAGCCACAGGTCTCAGGGAGGGCTGGGCAGTCCCAGATGGAAACACATCTGCAGAAGCAGCCCCTCCTCTGGAGAGGGTGGAAGCAAAGGAGGCCTGGGCATTCCAGCCCCATGGCGGGGTCAAGGGCTGAGTCCACCAGGGCCTGGGCTGCTCTCCTCATGCTCCTCTCTCACTGCACAGGTCAGGGCAGGCCTTGGAGAACAGGTTTCAGTTCCCAGCTTGTGTCAGCTCCCCCATCTCAGACCCTGTGAGAGTTACACCAATGGGTGCCCACACTCACCCTGTCTGTGCCTGCAGGCTCCCTCTCCTGGTCTGTGCTGACTCATCTGCCCATCTGCACCCTGTGCTGACTCGGCCACTCCCCACCTGTGCATCCCCAGGGGTAACTCATGCTCACCTGCACCCTGTGCTGACTCAGCCACTCCCCACCTGTGCATCCCTGGGGTTGTCTCAGGCTCACCGGCACCCTGTGCTGACATGGCTGCTCCCCACCTGTGCTTCCCTGCTCCCCGCCTGGGCATCTGCTCACCTGCACACTGAGCAGTGGCTTCCATGTTGGTGACTATATAACATGCTGGGACACATCCCTGGTTTCTCCTGAGATATGACCCAGACTCAGACAAGTACCAGGGCTCTGGACTGAATTTGATTTTTACTATGCCACTGCTCTTGGCAGTGGAAACCTCTGGGCCCAGAGACCTTGGCTGTGAGCGTCTTTCCATGAAGAAGCTTCTGTGGAACCCCTGAGGAGCCACCTGCCTCTTAGCAAGACATGCCCACAAGCAGGAGAGAGACAAGCAAACAGGTGGTGCCTTATCACAAGGCAGCCTAGGGCATCTCAGGAAGGCACAGATAGATGAGACAATACAGCTCAATGTCCAGCTCCCTAGGATCTGGACTAAACTAGCAGGAGTGAAAACTGTTTTCTGTGCCTGGAAATTCTGGTCAGTACAGCCACATCCATCAGCGCATGCACTTCAGCATCTGATTCCACACAGGGAACCTGTTGTCTTCAGTGGTACATCCAGGGCTGACACATCGGCACTCACCCTGCACATGGACACACTCTCCTCTCTCCCAGCCAGACTACATGTAGGGGGACACGGCCACTAACCACCCTCACTGCTAACATCCCCCGGACTCACCCTCCTCGTCTCTCCATGGCTGTTGCCTTCCTCAGGCCTCTTGGTCTCTCCTAAGAGCTCTCAGGTCTTAACCCAGCTCCACGTGACCCGGCTCCTGCTGTGGGTTCCCTTCTCCAGGGACTCCTCTCTAGGGAGGATGATCTCCAGACATCAGAGCAGCACACGGCCCTTCATAGGCTGACTCCTCCTCCCAGCCCCATGGCCAGGCTCTCTGCTCCACATCCTTGGCCAATCTTTAATAAGACAGTAAATTCTTGCTTACTTCCTAAAAATGCTGTGTTCCTCCAGCCCAAGAGTATTTGCAAATGGAGGCTGTTGATGCATTTCTTCATTATTTTTCTTTTTTCTGTCTTCTTTCCAAACAATTACTAAACTCTCTTGGAGTTGCCGCAGGCCCTACACAAGGTGAGAACTGAAGTGGTCAGCAGATGGAGGATGGGCAGCGTCACTCACTGAAGGGCATTGTTATGTTTTTGCTCCAGAATTAGTTTCCCTACAACTCCCAGGACAGCACCTCAGCCACACAAACCATTTGGCTCAGGCCCCTGAAGTCCCTTGCATGAGCCCTTTTAAAATATAAAAGTAGAGAATCTCTCCTAGTCACTTGCTGAGAGACATCTGGTGATGGCAGGGCACCATAGGCGTGGCTGTGGTGTGGGGAGCAGGAAGGCGGGTCCACAAGGTCCCCACTACCCTGAGCTTCCTGACACCCGAAGTCCCCACAGCTGTGGGTCTTGCACCTGCAGCCCAGACCTGCAGGGAAGACAGTGGATGGTGTCTGGCACTCTGCCGGGCTTGGCACTCTGAGGAGGGGGAATTGTTAACATTTGGCTCATCTGCTCTACATTCCTCCTCCCTACTGAAACCATAAACTGCTCCGAGACAGGACTCACAGAGAAGAACCAGCCCAGAGATGGATGTGCATGGAGAGCTGCCTCTGGGTGTGGGGAAGTGCTGAGAGGAATGGAGGCCACTCACACCTGCCTTGGAGGGAACGGCTCCTTGAGGCCACAGGGGCATGGTCATTCCTCTCTCCCTCTCTCACCCCGACACACCCCTCTCTCCTCTCTGAGCACACACTGTCCTGGACTCTGCAGTTTCCAGCTTCTCTGTCCCTCCAGAAGTCAGGTCTTAGCCTGTGCTGACCCAGCAGTTCTCAGAGTTGAGCCTCCAGGAGGCAGAATCTCTGCCCACAGGGAACACCAGCAACATCGGGGGTAACTGGGGTCCTGCTGCCAGGACAGCAGGGAAATCCCTCAACATGTGCTCTGCTGGGATGAGCCTGCTTTGAATCCCAGGGCATGTCTAGCTCCAGTCAGCAGCTCAGCCTCCCAGAGCTTCTCTGGGCTCCAGTAAGTGCAGGAGGCTAACGATGACATTGACCCAGGACAGCAGCCTCAGTGCTGATCACACAGTGCTTGAGACCATGTGAATGGAAGCCCTAAATTCCCCTGTTCTGTCAGGGACAGGCTGTCCCTCACTCCAGCCAGGCTGCACCTCTGCTGAGTTCTTCCACCCCAACGCGGGGTACAAGGCCTGACAGTCCTGAGAATGCCATCCCCTTTTTTCTCCACCTCTCCATGACTCGGCCTTGGGCTGCTTTGATGCAAATAGTGCAGTAGTTCTATTCTATGTTTAAATCAATGTTATTGAGGTAGGCTTCATATGAACTCATATGTGTCTATAATAGGAGCACAGCTTGTGAGAAATGACTAATATATAGAAATGGATGAACAAATTTGTGTGTGTGTGTGTGTGTGTGTGTGTGTGTAGAGAGAGAGGAAAAATCTCTTAACTGCTCCACAATGAACATACAGACTATCCCACCCACCCTGGCCCCAAGCACCAGGAATTTGCTTTCTGTCACTATAGATGAGATTTCTCTTGTGTAGGATTTCATCTGGGTAGAAACATGTAACACATCCTCTGTCATAACGACCTTCTAGCACTCAGCACAACAGCTTTGAAATTCACTTGCATTGTTGTGTGTCTTGTTATGTTGTGCAGGGCTCCATTGGATGGACATATTTTAATCTATTTATCTACTGGCAATCACTTGGGTTGTGTCCAGTTTAATCCATTATGAACAATCCTGCAATGTCCCTTCCTTTAGAAATCATTATGTGGACACACATTTTTGTTTTTCTTGGGTAATTCACTAAGGCTAAAATGTAATACCTTAGGAGAGAGTCTATGTGAACTTTGGGAAAAGTGAGCAAGCATTTGCAAAGCGGCTTCATTCCTGGCAGCAGGTCTCAGAGGTGTGCTTGTCCATGACCCATCAAGAGTTCTTCATGCCCAATTCCCTCTGGGCCATCATTGTGTTTGTGTAATGAGATAGCATGATGACTTAATTTTCCATATCAGACCCACAATGATTAATACATGTTATATGCTTAGTGGGCATCTGCACAGATTCTCTGGCCAAGGGGTCATGCAGCTCCCTTCACACATCTCCCTGAGCAGTCCCTCATTGTTTCACCAGTGTTGCTGCTGCTTTTCTTCCTGTGTCCTACATGCTGGCCTGTGTGGTGCTCACTGGGAAAAGGAAAGGCCTACAGGAGCAAGGGCAGCACCCTATGCCTCTGGGACCACAGCGGACACCTTGAGCCTGACTCTGCAGACCAAGGATAGTGGGAAGGCTCCTCCAGGCCTAGGTAACATGAGCACACAGCAGCTTATATGCAGCAGCTTGGTAATGGAGACTCTCTCAGGAGTCCCCTGGAAAGGAGCTGCTGTGTCTGAGCCCCACCTCTCAGGGCTCTCGTGTGACCCCAGGCGCTGGGGGTGGCCCTGCAGGAGCAGGTCTAGAACAGCACCATGTTGGGCTGTCTACACTAAGGCCGGGCTCCTCCTGCTCATGGTCCTGGCTGCCTTTGCAGCTCGGGGGAGCGTCTGTGCTGGGGGAGGGCAGGCAACACTGAGCCTTTTTGCCCCATCTCCCTTCCCGACCTTTTGGTCTCACATGTGTTTTCAGGAGCTGCTTGCCAAGCTGTGGTGACTCAGGAAGCATCACTGTCCACAGCAACTGGAGGGTTGCTCACTCCCCTGTGGCTGCAGTACTGGGGCTGTCATCACCAGCACTCTTCCCTCTGAATCCAACAGAAGCCCAGTTGAATCTATTAGCCCAGGGACTCATAGGTGACACCAGCAACTAGGGCCCAGGGGCTGGCACAGTGAGCCTCTTCAAATGACACAGACGGCCAGTGCAGGGTGCTGTAGTAAAGTCCTGTAAATTAGGTGGCGCATGTGCAACAGAAATTTACTTCTCACTGTTCTGGAAGCTGGTAAGTCCAACATAGAGGCACTGGGGAGGCGATGCCTGGGGAAGGCCTGCTTCCTCCTTTGTGGGTGGCTTTCTGCTGCATCCTTGCAGGGCAAGGGTGGGAGAAGCTATGGGAGGCTCTTTTGTTAGGCCTCAGCCCTTATGACCTTATCACTGCATAGAGGCTATGCTTCCTGAGGCCATCACACTGCGGGTTGGATATCCACACATGGCTTTGTGGACACACATTCAGTGTCCAGCTGGGGCAGCTTGAATGGCAGTGGAGGAGGAAGAAAGTGAGCCTCAGTTACCACTGGAGACCAGCAGGGCCTACGGCTCCTTCCACTGATGACCTCTTGACATTTTTTTTCTGGGAAAAAAAGGCAAACATTCCTGGAGAAACTACTCCTTGAAATGAGTGTGTGTAAACAGTGCAAGGGGTGGACATTAGCGAAGTTGGTGGTGTTCATCACAATGTCTCTTCAGGGCTGATTGTGATTTTCTAAATGCCTGAATATTACTGGTCAACCATTGTCATTGGAGATGCCATATGGGTCTTGCAGCTGGATAAGGAGTCACTCACAATTGCACTTCCAGGGACCGCCTACACTCCAAGACTGAGTTGTGTGCAGTGATGAAGCCCTAGCCCCTCACCCAGTTGAGGACTTGGAGGGACCATCCCAGCACCAGAGGTTATCATAGAAGGGACTGAGTTTGCTATAACTGCTCTACATTGAGGCCGATTCTTGAAGTTCCACAATCACAGAAGTGTCATTAAACCAGGAGTAAGCAGAGGAAACAGAAACACCAAGTTGCTGCTATAAGATCTAGGAGTGCAGTGCAGACAGGAGAGGTCCACTTCTAACCCTCACCTGACACACCCTGGGAGAGCTCGGTTCCAGATTCTAGTGCCTAGGAGAGAGCTGTGCCCATGGATATCCTGCAGTTCAGGCCACCGCCACCCAGACCAATAGCTTTACGCTCAATTCTCAAGAGATGATAACTGACAAAACCCAAGTGTCTGATATTTGGTGGTGGCAGAGGCAGAAAAGATCAGGTCATATGGCAAAGATAATCTTTGAGAAGCAAAGCAAGAGAAGATAATGACAGACATGACACTCAAAGGCCATAGGCATAATCACTTCTTAAACTGTATAATTAGCATTTTACAAATTACACATGTTTCCTTTGTTTTTCTGACTTCATCCCCCTAATTCTTCCTCATCTCTGAAGCAGCAGACCTGGCTGGGCTGCCCCTGGGAAGCCTCTTTTGGAATTCATTTGGAGTGGCTGGCAAAATATTAGGGAAATATTAGGGAAAGTTACAGATTAGTCTCAAACCTTTTGGAAGGTTGAACGGTTTTATTGGGACAGGCTGAACACAGCTGGTCCATTATGTTAGGGAAAAGATAGAGACGATGAGAGGTTTTCCAAGTTAAGTGTGTTTATCCCACGTCCTTTTGTCGCTAGTATTTTTCCTCATGTAAACTTTGTGCTGGATGACCCTCTCAGGGAGAGGTGAAAGGGGAATTACCCATTAATGGTGTTTACTCTGGGCCCTGGAACCAAAAGCTTTTCTAATGATAAAACCACTCTTTTCACCATGTTAATTATCCACAAGCATGTTGACTTAGAACCCCTGTTATGAAATTCATACTGAATAAATGTGAGGATGGACAGGGGTCTGGTCGATTGGCTGCAGTCACCCTCTGCAAGCAGCCAATGACCATCCCTAGCCTACTTGAATCACTGAAGCAGGTGTGAGAGTGCATTTATTCACCCATCACTGAGTCAGGGACCGCAGGACAGACCACTGCTGGTGGTGGTTGACATCTCAAGCCTCTTCTGTGGTGCCCTCTCTCCAGTGTGTGCATCTGCCTGGAGTGTCTTCATTGTCACTGCTAGAATCATGTCTCCTGTGGCCAATCAATCAACCTCTGGAGACACAAACACCAAGAAAGGTGTTACCCAGAGAAGCTTACCCATCCTGCCTGCTGCAGGGGAGGCCACACCAGCTCCCACAGGAACTCCCTGCTCTATCTTCTGTGTCTCAGAACTTATCTGGGCTCTCTGGCATCAGAGGCCTTCATCAAGTAACTGCTCACATTTGCAAACTTTCACATTAAGAGAGGACCCCCTTTCAACATGCCACTCCCCTGTCCTCTAGATCATTACAGCTCTCACCGCCAGCCTTATCAACGTGGGGCTCCAACCACTATTTGCAGGCTTCAGGTCAGTGATCCAACAACCAGATCCTTTGCCAGGTTAGAGCAGCTGCTGAAGATGGGAATGTTCTCTATGCATTGTGTGCAGGGCTACTGAGTGCTGGAAACATGCCCAGTGTGATGAGGGACTAGATACTATATTTTTAAAAAAACTAATTAAAATAGACACCCCAGCTAATGACTGCCACCCTGGAGAGCATAACATTGGGGATCCAGACATGTGGGAGACATTATCCCACCTCCCCTGGTTTTTTCTTGCAGAGTAGCTATCAATGGACAAGTGTTATCTTTCATCTAATAGGTACTTCCTGTGCACAGGCACAAGTACTGGCCAGTTTGTGAGGCCCTGGGGTTGCTAAATAGTGGGTCGTAACCAGGTCCTAGTGGGATTCACAGCTAGGGGCAAGTTGTAAGCAGAGTGAAGAGTATGGCCTTGCAAACCTGTGCTGGAAAATCAGGGAAGCTGCAGCAGAGGTGAAGGGACAACTCACTGTCCCCAGGAGCCCACCCTAATCTCCGCTGGCCCTGGCCACAGCCTGGAGTGTCATGAACTACACACATATGAAGTGTAAAATTTGATAAAATGTATATATATATATATATATATATATATATATATATATATATATATGCAATCATGGAGATGCGAGTTTTTCATTTGCAAACTGACAATAGTGGCTGTGCTACTAGAGGGGATATGAATGCAGGGCCCCCTAGACAGCCACACTCAGAGACCAGTGGGTGCATTTACACATAGAGTGCCCATCCTGTTCACCAGCCTCTCACCATCTAAAGGGTAGTACAGCTGCTCCCAGAAACGTGCCCATTACTCTTTATCTGGAAAATCAGCTTCCTTCACCACTTCCCTGATTCTCACCCCTAATAGGAACCCAGAATCAAGGAGCCTCTTCAACCAAAGCCAAAAGGAAAGCTCCACTTTCCACATCACCTCCACTTCTTCTCAGCAAATGATGCCAGAACATGCACCACGTTTACTCTTGGGATGATCTGTAACTGAAACGGGAAAGATTCCCTTGTTACCCTCACAGGGCATGTGATGGGGGTGCAGCTCACTTATTCAGTTGGGCAGGTTGTGGGGCTCTGACCCCATGGCAGTGTCTAGAGGTGAATGTTGGCATTTGAAGCACCAGTAGGGGTGCTCTTTTAGTTTGCTGTCTACAGGTGGCTCATGTTAACCCGCTCAATTAGACCCTCTACCTTGTCACAAGAACAGACAGCTTTCTCATTCCCAGTGTTTCTTACCTTGGTGTACGGAAAGAATCAGATCACACGTTGACTTGGAGTATGAGTGCAAGGTTTTATTGAGTGGGAGTAGCTCTCAGCAGATTGGGGAGCCAGAAGGGAGATGGCTTTCCCCTAGAACTGGGACATTGGTGACACAACTCTTCTCCAGTGGTGGGATTCTTCTTTGACCACTCTGGCCAAACTCCACATCATTCTGCTTCTGCCAGTGGCCTGCCTCATACTGGCACCTGAGAATGCGTGATTCTCAATGTCCAGCCACCTCGGTGTTGCTCCACTGATATGCTTCTCTCAAAGTGGTGGGCCAGGATAGCCTTGGGAAATGCAACATTTGGGCATGAAGGCAGGAGTGCTTGTCCTCACCTAGGTCCGCGGGGGGTGGAGCCCTACCAGGGACCTCACCCTCCTCTACCCAGCCCTTCCCTTCCCTTCCCCTGTTTTGTATCATTTAAAGTGACCACACTCTTCCCTTCCCAGCACTTCTGTATCATAATTACAGAACAGGTTGCTTTAGAAAAACAGAGGGGAAACTGTAGTTCAGTCAAAGACCTGCAGTGAGTGTGAGCACACCCATAGGACATGCAGGAGCTTTCCCTGGAGGTTGGGTCTTCCAAGTCTATTTTGGCTGGCAATTGGAAAATTCTTAGTCCCAGAAGAAGGAAGTACAGGTGCTGAGGGCAGGCCCTCTCCCAGTTTGTTTATAAACTGAGGCTGCCATTAGTGACTGACACTGTCTTGCCAGGAAACAGTATGTATCACATGTTATGTATATTGCCATGTGGTACACATTTCCACTGAGCAGTTGGCTACAAGGGACCCCTCAGCCAACTGATACCTAACTGTATTAGACTTTCTAATACCCAACTGTATTATAAAGCAATATTCTAAACTGTCTCATGACTGCTTACCTTCCCTCCACTTGACTAAATCTGGGTGAGCAGTTAATGCCCTTTAACTGATAAGGGCACCTGGGCTGGAGTGTCCGTGGCTTGATGAATTCAGTTTATAAAGCTTCCCACCTGACAATATTGATCTGAGCCACTGTCTGTTCAGCTAGATTAAGGCCTGGCTGAGGATGGGCAGTGGCTGCACGAGCACAGAGTGGACCTTTCTTCCTGTTCATTTCTTCCAAACCGAAGGTCAGCATCTTCAGACTCCTATTTTATCCTGAGCACTGCAAGGAAAATGCACAGAGTCCCTTATCCTCTTGGAGGGACCCCTCCACAGATACACCCTGGAGACCCCACCCCAGGACTGTCCCTGGGGACCACCCAGGCTCTTCTTCCCTTTGTCACCAAATGTCCATTCCTCTAACCTGATGGCTCTGTCTCTTCTCACCATGCGCCCCAGCAGCACCCTAAACAGTAGGGATCCTGTCCTCATCCCACCGCATTTATATCCACATCAAAACCCCAGTCTTTCCTTTATAAAACCAAAATGTGGCACATATACACCATGGAATACTGTGCAGCCATAAAAATGAGTGATTTCATGTTCTTTGCAGGGACATAGATAAAGCTGGAAGCCATCATCCTCAGCAAACTAACACAGGAACCGAAAACCGAACACCACATGTTTTCACTCATAAGTGGGAGTTGAAAATAAGAAAATATGGACACAGGGAGGGGAACATCACACACTGGGGCATGTCAGGGGTAGGGGGCAAGGGGAAGGAGAGCATTAGGACAAATAATGCATGTGAGGCTTAAAACCTAGATGACAGGTTGATAGGTGCAGCAAACCACCATGGCACATGTATACCTGTGTAACTAACCTGCACATGTATCCCAAACTTAAAGTAAAATTAAAAAAACAAACCTCAGAGTCAAGATTCCTAATGTATTGTGTTGGATTTTGGCAACAGTATTCGAAAGATTTTGACTTTTAATTCACCTGTCCTGTCATGTCTTTTACAGGATTTACTATCATGAGTTTCCCAGTTAAAAGAGAGCAGTATGAGTGTATTCTTGTACATATAAAATTGAAGTTACTTCTATTTAAAATATGAGATAGACTCACAGGGAGACAATAAGGATGGGGTTTGCATGATGGAAAGATATTATTTGCATTAGTTTTTATGTGATGGTTGTTTTACCTGTTTCACAGTGCACATATATTACATGTGCAGACTGTTGCCTTCTTACAAATGCTGTGTTAACCACCACTCAGATGTAAATCCCCTGATTGTCCCTCTTCAGCTAATTTCCAGGCAGAAACCCCAGGAGATGCCTACTCTGATCATGATCAACATATTTTAAATTTATTTTTAAACATCATATAAATGCAAACCTACAGTATGTACTCTTTTGTTTTTGGTTGAAAATTATATGTGAATATGTGATTTTCACCCATTTTCCATTGTGATGAAACATTTGTCATGTTGTACTGCTGGGTCAGTATATAACATTGTAGAATGTTGGCACAATTAGTTTACACCCTCCGTGTTTTCTACATTCACTCTGATGTTTTTCATGATGGTTGCTTGAAACTGCTTCTGTGAAGTCCCCCAAGTGGACACCAATATCCTTGGCTCGTACATATCTCTTGGACATAGATGGCAGGAGTCGGACTGTAAGGTCACAGGTACTGATAACTGTAGTACATACTAGAAAGCTATTTCTCAAAATGGTTGAAACTAAGTATGTTCCCAGAGTAACATGAAAGTTCAAGTTTCTCCACATCCTCACCACCCTTTGCATTTTTCTCTTTGATAATGTGCCTATTCCAGTGGAGAAACTTGTTTCAATATGCACTCTGCTAATGACTTGGGATCAAATGCATTTTCATGTGCTGAACTTGCTGAGGTTTCTAGGATTTTGACAAATCACATAATCTTATGAGTTCTTGAATGACTATTTAAGGTGCTTTGTTAGAAGAAGGATCCAACAGGCAAAACTGCAGAGGGATATGGAACAATGGAAAGATATTTGCAAGGACAATCCAGATTTCAGAAAACAAAAATAGAAAAGACAGATAAAATGGAAACGTCACTAAAAATGGACAAATATCACAACAAAGCAATTTAGAAAAGACAAAATGTGGATGAATGAAAGTCACATGACTGTGGAGCCCAGCATGTCTGTGTGGGAGGAGCTGCCTGGAAGAACAGAGAGCAAAGCAAAAGGGCTTGGGGTGAGCAGGATGGGAGTGGCAGGAGCTGCCAGAGCCCCCTCAGCAGGAAGCCAGGGAGAGGGTTTGGAGATCAGCCAGCTGGGGTCAGGGGCAGGCAAAACCTATAGGTTCCTGTGGATGCCCTACAATTGTGCAGTTACTTCTGAGTGAGGCATGAAACCAGTGAGTGTTGAGCAGATAACTAATGTTGCAATTTTAAAAATAAAAAAATAAATTTCCAGTCAGGCTGTGGAGCTTCGGAATCTCTTACAACTGGGATACTAGCAATGGCAGGATGTCCCTCAACACATTAAATATGCACCCTCGATGCAGCTAGTCCACTGTGGTTCAGAGATGGAGGGAAATGCATAGGGGGACGTCTTCTCTGGTAAGGCGGTATAGGCAGCAACCTGGCTTCTCAGCACAAGGGTTGATAACTAAAGTGTAGTTTACACAATGCTGACCTGTTGGAAGTAATGGAAATGGTTCATATGCACACATGGATGAAATTAAATGTTTAAGCCTGAGTTTAAATCTCAGAAAAAATAAACCAGATGAGGCCTAAAGAGAAAAAATTATTTACTTAAAAAATGCAAACACATTATGGATTCTTTAAGTATCTCTAGAGATGATTTGGAAGTCAGAGTGGAACCACATTATTTACACTTGAGTTGGTGACTCAGAGATGGGGAAAACATGATTTCAAATGGCGATAAAGAAAAATATGAAAGAGAGGCCTTTAGGTGGCTGATGGTGAGAATGTTAATAGTGTGAGTAAACTCTGTGCTTCTGGGTCCCAGAAAACACCGACAGATAGAAAGTGTCACACACACTCTGCTGGCACAGCTGGCAGGCACAAGTGACCTCCCTTAAACCCACACCCCCTTTATTTAGGATTCCCGGCTGCCCTGGCCTCTCTCTGACATCGTGAGCAGCTTTAGAAAGGAGGATCAGGACAGCCAATGTTCTCCATCTAAGATGCCCTGGTGTGTCAGAGAAGCAGGAAGGCTTTGGGTGTGAGGGCAGTGTGGGACAGTGAGGGACACTCCTGAGATGGCCTCTCTCAGCTGGGAAATGACTCAGAGCCTCCATGGGAGTTTGGCCATCAGGGAGCCCACTGAGTAGTTTTGGGTGGCAAAACTTACCTGCTAGGACACACCTTCACCCCACCGGGTCAGCTGTGAGAACTCAGGGTAGAGGGGCCCAGGAACACACAGGTAGCAGCTCTTATTTAAATGCAGTGGCTCTGCTCCTGTGAAGGTTTTGGGAGATGTAAGGCAGCTTCAGAAAGCTCAGGCTCCACAGCAGAGTGTCAGGAAACAGAGTCACATCTGAACCATACCCGAGGCTCCTGTCTTTACCCTCCTCACTCACTGCACAGGGGAGGGGGCACGTCACCTGGGGACAGGGAATCCATGGTTGGCTCTGTTCCACACACCCACCCTTCTCAGCATGCTGATTCTGGCCCACAGTCCCTCCTCTCTGTCCCATTTAGGGTCTGTGGCCCAGGCAGGCCCAGCTCAGCCACCCTCAGCATCTGAAGGTTCTGAACAAGTGCCACAGCTGTCTGCACTGAGGACAGCAGCAACACTGGTAATGTTGACAGCTGGGGCCAATGTGACACATTCTTCACATGTACATGCTGTGACCATTTTCTGTCATTCTGTGCTTCGTAAGTCATTTTCTTAAAGGGGACTTTTGCTATGCCAGATAGTTTCAATATTTATGCAGACCAATACTTTTTTCTCAAGATTAGTATTTTTGTGTCCTAAAACAACTATATATATATATGTGTGTGTGTGTGTGTGTGTGTGTGTGTGTGTGTGTATACATATATATATATATATATATATACACACAACTATATACATAACTGTATACATATGTGTATGTGCATATATATACAACTATGTATATATACACATACACACATATGTATATAGTTGTGTATATACACATACACACACTTATATGTTCACATAAAAACATTTGAATTATATCTCAAAATTTTGTTACAAAAATGAATGGCTTGATATTCTAGTGCTAAGGGATGGCTTTATTTAAAATATAAATAATTTCCAGTAGATTCCTTTAAAATGTTATAGCAGGGATTTCCAGATCACCCCCACTCCCACCTTTTTATAATTTTTGACTATTTTTCAGAGTCTTGAATTCAATGAGGTGAAGGTGGAAGAAGGCATCTAGAAAGTCAGTGGGTTACAGGAGAGCTGGTGTGGGGTGAGGCCAGGTGGGGAGAGATGTTCCTTTAAATGGAAGCCTCTGGAACCCACAGAAAGCAAGCGTGAGGTGGGACAATCTTCCTGGAGAGTTACCAGAGAAAGGCTTTAGGCCCAACACTCCTGTTCACAAACACAGACAGAGGAATCTGCTTTCTTAAAACAACTCTTTCTATATTGACACAAAGAAATAAAACGGGAAAATTATGGTTTAGTCATTTCATTAAATTATTAACAAATAACTTTTGAAACAAAAACTGTAAAAGTGGAACTCAAATTACTATGTGTTTAATAATCTAGATCTGTGGCTCAGATAGAGATACAGCAAACCAGACATGGATGATGCCCCACCCATGGATCAAGCCCCCAGCCATGGATGATGCCCCTGGCTGTGGATGATGCCCCCAGTTGTGGATGATGCTTCAGACATAGATGATGCCCCTGGCTGTGGATGATGCCCCCAGTTGTGGATGATGCTTCAGACATAGATGATGCCCCTGGCTGTGGATGAAGCCCCCAGTTGTGGATGATGCCCTAGCCGTGGATGATGACCCCAGTTGTGGATGATGCCCCAGCTGTGGATGATGCCCCAGCTGTGGATGATTCCCCAGCTGTGGATGAAGCTCAGATATCTGTATCTGAGCCACAGATCTAGATTATTAAACACATAGTAATTTGAGTTCCACTTTTACAGTTTTTGTTTCAAAAGTTATTTGTTAATAATTTATGAAATAACTAAACCATAATTTTCCCGTTTTAATTATTTCTTTGTGTCAATATAGAAAGAGTTGTTTTAAGAAAGTTGTGGATGATGTCCCAGCCAGAGATGATGCCCCAGCCATGGATGAAGTCCCCAGTTGCGGATGAAGTTTCACGTGTAACTAGTTAGTGTGACTCTGCACACATTGTTGCTAAGAAATTGCCATTCGGCACCTGTGGAGAGAAACTTAGCAACGTTTAGCAATGTTGCAAAGCTGTAACAGTTTGACCTACAATCCGACATCTCAGCATCTTTCCTAAAGGAGACTGGCAAAAATATGAAAAGACTCATGCACAAGACCATTGGTTGTGACATTAGAAAATGTAGAGCATACTTCTAAACTTGAATGTCAATAGAAAACATAATGCAGTTAGATAATACTTATCTACATTGGAAACACAGAAAGACTGAAAGTTAATTAAACATACAACATAAGTTAGAAAAAAATAACATCAGAATAAACGCAGATAATATAATGGAAGGATAAGAGGTGAGAAATTGATGAAATAGAAAATAAGGACAATATTAGGGAGAAGTAACAAAGCCAACAGTTTTTTTTGAGAAATACACAAGTCATTAGTGAGATTTATCAAGAAAAAAGGGCTGGGCATGGTGGCTCACATCTGTAATCCCAGCACTTTGGGAGGCAGAGGTGGGTGGATCACCTGAGGTCGGAAGTTCGATACCAGCCTGACCAACATGGAGAAACCCTATCTCTACTAAAAATACAAAATTAGCTGAGCATGGTGGTGCACACCTGTAATCCCAGCTACTCAGGAAGCCGAGGCAGGCGAATCACTTGAATCCAGGAGGTGGAGGTTGCAGTGAGCCAAGATCGCACCATTGCACTCCAGCCTGGGCAACAAGAGTGAAGCTTCACCTCACAAAAAAAGAAAAAAGGAAAATCACAAAAATTAACATCAGAAATTAATAGGAAGACATAACTGGAGAGAGAGCAGAGATTGCAAAACAATGAGTGGACATCATGAATATATAACTTGTTTTAAAGCAACATTTTGTTTCACTTGGGCTGGTGGCCATATGCTGCACTAGCTGGCCAACAGTGAGAGGGCTCCTCATGGAGGAGGCTTGGGTTGAGGCTGAGGGTCTTTAACCCATGTACACAAGAGAGTTGCTACAAGGGGATGGAAACCAGGCTAACAGCCAAGTGCTGCACAGAGTTTCTACCCTGTCCCTCTCCTCACCATTTTCAGCTGGCAGGATTTGAGCATTTTAAGGCTTGGGAAGGTAATATTACAAATCTACTAAAATACATCACTGATCCTTATATGCTTTGGCCAATTGCTGAGAAATTAACTTCAGAACTGAAGTGGCTTCCAATCCTCTTAGAAGTTGTGAGTTTGGGGCCTACTGGAGGGTGGATGGTGGGAGGAGGGGGAGGATCAGGAAAATAACTGATATTAGGCTTAATATGTGGATGGTGAAATAACCTGTACAACAAACCCTCATGACACACATTTACATATGTACCAAACCTGTGCAGCCTGCACATGTACCCCTGAACTTAAAAAATTAAAAAAAAAGGATCTGTGAGCTGACCCAAACACCTGGGGATCTTTGTGCTTTTCACACTGATGACTATGCTGGTCTGTGGGTTGTGCCTGTAACTGCCCTGGGTTGTGTGATGACAGAGTCCACTTTATAATGATGGACAGTGTCTGGGACCTATTAGGCTCGGTGCTTTAGGGCTTACACACAAATGCTGGGCTTCCTTTGTGGTGGCAAACAACCCATGGCTAAGTGCATGTCACTAGTTGCCAGTGTCAGCACTGGCCCACACTCCTGGGTTCATGTTTTTACTTTTTCATTTAGAAGCTCGGGAGCTGGGGCAACCCCTTGGCCCTTCATGTTCTCCACCTGAGCAGTGAGGAAAATAAGCCAGACTCAGGTATGGCTCTGGTGAGGGTGGAGGAATCACTGTAAAGAGAGAGTAGAGTGGGTGTGGATTTTAGATTTTAGAAGTGGACACTGGCAATTGGGCTGTGTAAATGGGAAATTTCTCCTGGGAAAACACACAGCCTCATGTTCACAGAAACACACACATTCACATCACGTGATGCAGCCTCACACAAGACACCACCAATCCGGAAGCACACAAATCAGTACTACCCAAAAGGGAGCACAGCTGCTGCCTAAAAATTTGGCCATGATTTTTCCCTGGGGAATTCAGGTTTTTAAAAAACATTTTCACTATTCTTACTCCTATCACGATCCCAGAATCAAGGTGGCTCTTTACATTGAAACCAGCAAGGTTGCCACACAGTTCTTGGCATCCAGATTTTTTTCACGACAATAATTCCAGAATACTTACCAGGGTCACACTTCAGAGGGAACACCAGCACTACCTGCAACACAGAAACAAAGTTTTATAAGGAATACATCATGTTGAAGACTGTTTGCACAAGGTTCTCTTTCTCTCAATGAATATTGAAAACCTGATCAGAAATTTAGTCAACTGCTAAAGTAATCAAAACAGCATGGTACTGGTACCGAAACAGAGATGTAGACCAATGGAACAGAACAGAGATTCATTGGACAGGACAGAGTGGGCACCCACAGAGGCCTGGGATAGATTTTGTATCTCTGCAACACAGCAATGAGCACACTTCATGGCATGCTGATGCTTACTGAATGGTACAACTGAGGACTGGGTGATTCTGCTTGTATCTGTTCTTATTCCAAGAGGCTCAACAACATGCTCTATGGACGCATAATCTTTCAAATGCACTCATCTAACCTTTCAGTAGTTTTTCACTCCTTCAACCAAGAGCTTCTCCATCTGAGTTTCTGCAAGATGAATCTCAAACCCATAAAGAAATGGATAACACCAACCCCATGAAGCTCACATGCCCAGCTGTTGAAGCAAACTTCATTTTACAGCAAGTCTACTTTGCCACTACAGACAGTGTAGCATGTTAGTTTATAGATTAGCCTTTGGTGTCAGAGGTCCAGCTCTTGGTGTGTCTCATGAATAATTTACTTAATTGAGACTCACATTCCTCATCTGTATAATGAATAGAACCAAACTAATTATGCCTCAAAGTGATTGTGATGCTTCAAGAAGGCAACATAGAGAAATGACCATACAGTATCCAAGACTCAAATTTATATCAGTTATCCTTTTCATTTTAATAACTTAAGCAGCTGCTTATTGAGTACAGTCATATGTGGCATAATGACGTCTTGGTCAATGATTACTTACATGTCTGTGGTGAGACAGGTGTACAAAAACCTACTGGCCTGCATCATTAGATTAAAACAAAATTTTTGGCTAATAATTTTAAGTAAGATGCTATACAAATGAAAGACTAACCACAGTGATGGAATTTTTAGGGAGAGATACTAAGAGTTCACAAGGATTTGGAGAAATGTCTACTCACATATGCTGCTATAGGAGCATGAATTAGAAAGCTATTTGGCATTATTCATGACAATAAAAGATATGTTTCCTTTAACAATCTCCTTCACAGAAATGAGTGCCATTATTATTCCAAAACAATTGACAAAAATACTGAAAGCAGCATTACTTGTCACAGCCATAATTATTAAAAAAAAGAAGAATAAAACAATTATTATGTCAATCAACAGTAGAGTGGATAAACTGTAATATGTGACTACAGTGGAATGGTATGCAACAAGGAAATGAAAGAACTACAGTTACACTTAAGAACATGAATGAGGATAGTGATCCAAGATGGCTGATTAGGAGCAGCTCAGGATTGCAGCTCCCAGTGAAAGCACAGAGGGTGAGTGGACGCCACATTTCCAGACAGATTTTTATTGCCCACAGACCAGGAGTTTCCGAGGCAGAGGAGTCCCATGGGTCACCAGCATGGCTGGTTTGGCCAGGCAGCTGCTTTGCCAGTGCACCGGGGCAGCGGTTCTCCGTACAAAATACACGGGTCTGGGCACTGTTTTAGCTGGTGATTGGAGCTCCGGCAAGGCAGAGTCTCCCATTCATTTGATTAAAAACAGGACTGAAACAGGGAGCCAGGCCAGAAGATTCCCGGGCAAAAAAACACCGTGAATCTCAGCACCACTCTTTCAGCTGGCGCAGTGGGTTGCCACATGGGAAATCACACAGATCCTGGTGTGTTTTCAATGGGTAACTGGAACACCTGGAAGAGAACCAATGGTTCAGCTAAAAAAAAAGGCTCTGAGTCAGGGAGTCAGGTGATAAGGCTTGGCTGGTCCCCCCCCCACACACACACACAAACAGCAATTGGAAACGCTCTGGGTTGAGAGTTTCACAGCAAGCAAGCTGAACATTGGAAGGTCTAGCCCTGTGGGGGAGGGGCGTCTGCCATTACTGAGGCACTCCACCACTATGGAGGTAGTCCACTATTGTTGAGGCAGCCTGCCATTGCTGAGGCAACCCGTGATTACAGAGCGAGTCTGTCATTACAGAGGCAGGCCACTATTGCTGAGGCAGTTCTAGCTACACCCGTATAAACAGGACTGCAGGGAAGTTCACACAGCACCAGGGCGGAGCCTACAGCAGCTCAGCAAAGCCGCTGCAGGCAGACAGTGACTAGGCTGCCTCCTCCCTGGGCAGGGCAGCCCTGAAAAAAGGGCTGCAGCACAACAGAAACTCATAAATAAAGCCCTAACTCCTTGGGAAAGAGCATCTGGGAAAAAAAAGGAGGGGTTTATGAGTTCTGCTATAGCAGATTTAAACATATCTGCCCATCAGCTCTAAATAAACAACAGAGCTCACGGCTTAGCATTTGAGCTCCTATAAAGGACAGACTGTCTCCTCAAGCAGCTCCCTGACCAGCGTATATCCAAAGAATCACCTCATAAAAGAGAGCCCAGACTGACATTTGGCAGGTATCGATCTGGGACAAAGATAGCAGAAGAAACTGGCAGCAACCCTTACTGTCCTGCAGCTGCTGCAGGTGATCACCAGCCAAGCAGGGCCTGGAGTGGACCTCAGCAGTCCTACAGCAGAGGGTCCAGACTGTTACAAAAAAAAACTAAGAAACTGAAAAAAATGACTTTATCATAAAAAAACTGGACGTCCACTCAGAGACCCAATCTGAAAGTCAAAAATTACAAAGATGACAGGTGGATAAATCCACAAAGATGGGAAGAAACCAGAGCAAAAAGGATGAAAACATCCAAAACCAGAATTGCTCTCCTCCTACAAGGAGTCACAGCTCCTCACCAGCAAGGGAACAAGGCTGGATGGAGAATGAGTGTGATGAATTGACAGAATCAGGCTTCAGAAGATGAGTAATTAGAAAATTCTGTGAGCTAAAAGAACATGCTCTAACCCAATGCAAGGAAACTAAGAACCTTGAAAAAAAAATTGATGAAATGCTAACGAGAATAGACAACTTAGAGAGGAATATAAATGAATTGATGGAGCTGAAAAACAAAACATGAGAGCTTTGGGAAGGATGCATAAGTTACAAAAGCCAAATTGACCAAGCAGAAGAAACGATATCAGAGGTCGAAGATCAACTCAATGAAATAAAATGAGAAGGCAAGATTAGAGAAAAAAAGGGTAAAAAGGAATGAACAAAGTCTCCAAGAAATATGAGACTATGTGAAAAGACCTAATCGACGCTTGATTGGTGTACCTGAATGTGACAGAGAGAATGAAACCAAGCTGGAATATACTCTTCAGGATATTATCCAGGAAAACTTCCCCAACCTAGCAAGGCAAGCCAATATTCAAGTCCAGAAAATACAGAGAACACCACAAAGATATTCCTCAAGAAGAGCAAGCCCAAGACACATAATCGTCAGATTCACCAGGGTTGAAATGAAGGAGAAAATGCCAAAGGCAGCCAGAGAGAAAGATCGGGTTACCCACAAAGGGAAGCCCATTAGACTCACAGCAGATCTCTCAGAAGAAACCCTACAAGCCAGAAGAGAGTGGGGGCCAATATTCAACATCCTTAAAGAAAAGACTTTCAACCCAGAATCTCCTATCCAGCCAAACTAAGTTTCATAAGTGAAGGAAAAATAAAATCCTTTGCCAACAAGCAAGTACTCAGAGATTTCATCACCGCTAGGCATGCTTTACAAGAGCTCCTGAAAGAGACACTAAACATAGAAAGGAACAACCAGTACCAGCAAATCCAAAAACATACCAAATGGTAAAGAGAATCAACACAATAAAGAGACTGCATCAATTAATAGGCAAAACAGCCAGCTAGCATCAAAATGGCAGGATCATATTCACACATAACAATATTAACCCTAAATGCAAACAGGCTAAATGTCCCAATCAAAAGACACAATCAAGCAAATTGGATAAAAAGTCAAAACCCATCAGTGTGCCGTATTCAGAAAACCCATCTCACATGCAAGGATACACAAAGGCTCAAAATAAAGGGATGGAGGAATATTTACCAAGTAAATGGAGAGCAAAAAAAGCAGGAGTTGCAATTCTCGTCTCTGACAAAATAGACATTAAACCAACACAGATCAAAAGAGACAAAGAAGGACATTACATAATGGTAAAATGATCAATGCAACAAGAAGAGCTAACGATCCTAAATATATACACACCCAATACAGGAGCACCCAGATACATAAGGCAAGTTCTTAATGACTTACAAAGAGACTTAGACTCCCACACAATAATAGTTGGAGACTTTAACACTCCATTGTCAATATTAAAAAGATCAATGAGACAAAAAATTAACAAGGATATCCAGCACTACAACTCAGACCTGAACCAAGCAAACCTAATAGATATTTACAGAACTCTCCACCCCAAATCCACAGAATATACATTCTTCTCAGCACCACATCACACCTACTCTAAAGTTGACCACATAATTGGAAGTAAATAACTCCTCAGCAAATACAAATGAATGGAAATCATAACAAACAGTCTCTCAGACCACAGTGCATTCAAGTTAGAACTCAGAATTCAGAAACTAACTCAGAACTGCACAGCTTCATGGAAACTGAACAACTGGCTCTTGAATGTTGACTGGATAAACAATGAAATGAAGACAGAAATAAAGATGTTCTTCAAAACCAATGAGAACAAAGACAAAACATATCAGAATAGAGGACACATTTAAAGCAGTCTCTAGAGGAAAATATATAGCAATAAATTCCCACAGTAGAAGTAAGGAGAGATCTAAAATTGACAACCTATCATCGAAATTGGAAAAGCTAGAGGAGCAAGATCAAAAAAACTCAAAACCTAGCAGAAGACAAGAAATAACTAAGATCAGAGCAGACCTGGAGGGGATAGAGACACAAAAAACCCTTCAAAAAATCAATAAATCCAGGAGATGGTTTTTTGAAAAGATCAAAAAAAATAGACAGACCACTAGCCAGATTAATTAAAAAAAAAAAGAGAGAGAGAATAATCAAATAGATGCAATAAAAAATGATAAAGGGAATATCACCACAGATTCCACAGAAATTCAAACCACAACTCTATGCACATAAACTAGTTAACTTGGAAGAAATGGATAAATTCCTGGACACTTGCATCCTCCAAAACCTAAATCA